TTCCCTACTAAATGTAACAAATTATAGAAGAAAATTTGCTTTCTCTTAATGGCAGAGGGAAGAGAGGGAGGGGATGTCCTATGCTGCTATATTCCCTGTTCAAAAAAATCTCACTGATTCGGTCATCTTTGCACATGTGTCATTTCACCACTCACTGTGCAGTTTTATTTCCTGATACGATGAACTGTTGGCTTTTCAGTGGGACCTGCAGGTGGGGTGAGACAACAGCATTAAGGGTTCCTGTGGATGAGGAGTTTGCAAAGATCCAGCCACACACATTTGGCCACTAGCTAGGAGGATACACAAACGTGGTCTCAGTTTCCTGCATCTGCTGGCATCTTAGGTTGCCTTGCAGAAGTGGCGAGGAATGTATTTGTAAAGTGTCAGCTAATTACCTGGTTACTCTTACTCAGGTCAAAACTGGGGGTGTCTGGACATGGGCAGAATAATCCATTTTAGTAAAAGTAGGCTCCATACATGGATTTAAAGAGGTGGGATCTTGAGCAACAATTGTGTAGTTCAGCCTTAACATTCGAAAGAGGAATCTTTCCAGATGCTGAGATTGAAATATTCCTTCTTCTTTTTAAAGATAATTCTGTTAAACCATTTAGAAATTTTATGTTAGCCCCCTCTACCTAAAGAAAATAGCAGTTCAGAAAAATGAGAAAAAGTTCTCACTTTTTTTACCTTTTCCCCTCATCTTTGTTACAAACACATTCAAGCCTAAGGCCTGCAGTTAGGCCAGAAACCCTCCAGGTACCGTAAGGATTGAGGTTTTCTAAAGTTTCGGTGCCTTTTCTTGAAAAGTACTAAAAAAAATCCAGAGGTTTTCCCGAAGATGCTTATTTGCTGAAGGCCCTGTAGCAACAGTGCAAGCAGGTATGGTTTTTCCAGCATTAGTGCTGGAACCAGATGAGGTTAAAGTGAATGTTGGCACCGTTCAGTTTTCTTCTTCCCCTTCCTCCCAGGCCACTTCTTCTAAACGTAAAATTGGGAGACATCCCGCTGCTTCTCCAGCCTCTCTCTCTAGTGCAAGCCTGGCCAAGGTGCCCTCACACTGCGTTTGTCTATGAGTGAAGTGGAGAAGGCTTGTCCCCAGTTAGCTAGCATCCTGCGCCTGCTGCAGACATGGGGCTTTGCCCCATCAAAACATCTTAACACAGCCTTGCTTGAGGGGAACCCCTCTGGTCACTTCCTTCACCTGCCAGAAAGTCAGGAAAGCCCTCTCTAGCCAAACAGATCGCTAGTAATTCGGTGTCTAAAGTGGAACGGCGTCCCTCGGAGGATCAGGTGAGCATCACTGCCTCTCCCAGCTCGTGGCTGCTGGTTTTGGCACCCTCTGAGGACGAGGGAGGGAAAGTCGGGGTCCAGGTCCCACCACAGGCTGAAGTCAGGGCTCCCTCCCGCTGGGACACGCACCCGTGCGAGCGTGGGACAGCAGCACTGCCAGACCCACGGCTGTGGTGTGTTGCGCCCGGCTCCCTCCCCGCACTGCGTCTTGAGTGTGCAGAGCATGCCGTGCCCGCGGGAAGCTTTGGAAGAGCTGTGCCTTGGCTGATTGCCTGGCCCGGCACAGGAGAGGCCACCTGGGACACACACCTTCGGAGAGCTTCCAGTGTGGCCTCAGTCTTGCCAACTTAATATACAGGCAGCTGCTTTAGGTGCCTCAAGGGTTTGGGGATCACGGTCTTGAAGTTCAGCACCTCAGTTCCTCTTTAAGCACCCGAGCGGGATGGGCCTCTGGGGAAAAATGTATCAGAGAATTTCTCTGGCTTTATTTCCTGTAATTAGTGGCCTCAAAAATGAGAAAACCACCACTTTAGAGCATAAATGTATTTACACATCCACGTATAACATCTACTTGCCTCTGTAACAGCAAACTTTCAAATTAAAGGTAACTTCTCCAGCGTTAGTTCATTTGTGCCACAGAAGGAAAGCATCCAGATTCAAGACAGCAATTAGTCTTTAGTTATGGGTTTAACCCTGTCCTCTGTGTTTTCTTGAACTGGGGCTTTTGACCCAGTCCTTCAGACGCTGAAGCACACACCTACCTTCACGGCCATGATTAGCTCCAAGTGGAGCTACATAACTTCGAGTGGATGTTGAAGTGCCTGCAAGGAGTTGCACAATAGTGGCAGAGGCAAGACTCCATGTTATCCCAGCAGTGGAAACTCAGTCTCGTTTCAAACAATCCCCTTCTCCTTCCTGCCTGTTTTGAGGCCACTGGTGGTGTTTTCTGTCAAGATTTGAGATGTCACCTTCAGATGGTGCCGCTGTCCAATACATGGTTTTAAGTGCGATGGCACAAGATTTCTATATTCTGCTGGCCAAAAAATCAATTTTTGGTAATTTGTTAAATGTGCTTAACCTCATTCAACTGGGCCTTCAGATTGTCTTTTAGTCTGTGGTATTTTATTTTCAGACTAGCGAACAGACCGAGGAAATTTGCTTCGGAAGTCCCACATAGTTCAACATTTCATTCCTACCTCATCGTAGGAGGATTGTTTTGGGATGGAGGGTGGAGAGGGTAACAGTATTTTTAAAAAAAAATTTTTTAAATTGCATTGACTCAGGACATGACTATTTGATAATAATGTTCATGTATTGCAATCGTATGATGCAACTTCCTGCTGCTCATGTCCGTGTTTGTCTCCTCAGTCAAGTATGGGCAGATGACATCTTTTGGTCAAGCTTCAGGAAAAAAGTTTGAGTTGGAGGGAAGGCAATTTGCATATTTACAAAACATTTGGCAATCTTTTTGTTTCATGAGCAGGTTTAACGAGGTATTATTTAAAATCTTTCAGATTCTATGAAGATTAACTTTTTAATGCTGTTTCTTAAATGTAATTTATTCTCTTCTTCTTCCTGCTGGCCCTGACACGCTGGCCATTAGCTAAGCCCTGCCGCTCGCTTTCCCTTTTGTTTATGGGCAGTTTCACTTTCTGGTTTTGAAGCTTTTCTGTTTGGGTTGGGAGGAAACATCTGCACTTGTTTAAAAAAAGCCTCCTGGAATCTTCAGAAGGGCTCAGGAAAATTATTTTGAAATTATATGAAAGGTTGTCTTCACAAAACCAGAATTTGGGGGCTAAAGTTGACTTAATATTGAGGATTATTTGAAGGCTCCCTTAAAGACCTTCTCTGAGCAAAATGTTTTCAAAGGCATGCCACCCTGCCTTGGACACATTCAGAAAACAGATGATCAAATTATATACTTCTAAATGTTGGTCTCCGTTCTCATTTTGAGTGGAAACACTCTTTGTTTTGCCTGCTTCACAACTTCGAGATTCTCTTTCTACTAGCAAAAGAGGTACTTAATTTAGATCGAAAATGTGAATCGGCATAATTAAGCTCCACCACGCGAAGTGTTCAGTACCATCTCACTCCTGAAATTACTATTGAAATTACTGTCTTCCTACAACCGTTTTTCAAGTTTTTAGAAAAAACCAGATCATTAGATCATTGTTTTTGTGAAGTCTTTCTCAGGCTACAGCTCGGAGCCCAAGAAATGTGAGCAAAGCCTACGGCTATGCAACAGTCTGTAGCTGGAACACCCACATTGGAGAGACTTCAGGCAGCCCCTCTGCTCAAGTTTTATTAATACTTAAAAGTAACAGGAGTTTTGTCCCTTTTCCTCTTGCATGGACTCACTAATCTCAGATCTGAGAAAAGAATCTGTTGACCTCAGTGAGAAGTGGATCAGGCTCCTAAAGAGGCACGTCTGGGTTTTTTTCTTTCATTTTCCCCCCTCCCCTCAGATCAGTAACTTGCAAATGCAGCTGCACTGTTCTTGTTTTGTCATGAACCTCTTTTCTGTGTGTCTCTCTGACCACAGAAACTAGACAGATCTTGGAAGAGTATGTGCCTATATTTAGTGTATATACATGTATATGGGGGTGGGAGGGAGAAGTGCATTTCAAGAGCAGGAGGGAGACACTGTGATCAGTAAGAACTTAAATCTAAAATCACAAGTTAAAAAAATATAACTATAAGAAATATATGTCTTTGACTTTGAAGTATGGCTCCTTTAAGAGCAACAAGAAAGGCTGTAAACCTCTCAACCAGTTTCAGCCCTGGTTTAAACCCACGTTCAGTATAAAACATAAGAACCTCTCCTTGGCCCTTTCTCTTATTTCACATGTGCTGACATACTTGTTTATGTTTTGATCTCTCTGGTGTTCCCAAGTGTCCCTTGTGCTCAGGTAATAGGGAAAAAAGCCAAGAGGGGATTTATGGACCAAAGATAGCTTGCAAACTGAAGAGAGCTGTCATAGTTAGACTTGAAAAATAATCTTTAAATACTGTGACTTCTGTCTATTCATGGAAATTAGTAGGAGGGGAGGCTTTACCGGAAGCTCTGAAGGGAAGGAAAGAACAGTTATCTTTAGTCTGTCAAGTGGGGACATGGGCCTGTTGCACAAAGAAAGTTACGTTCTCGGCGTGACCTTCCTTTCTGTTACTCGTGGGCTTGCTCTGGTGCATAAGGCACGTACGTCCTCATCCTGATGTTTAACCTTGTGACAGCAGGAGCCGTTCCTCCAGCTGAAGCAGCCCCAATTTCTCTATCACTTTTCCAGCAGTACCAGCACTTCTCCTTCCTCTTTCCTTCCCCCCGGCCTTTTTTTCTTTAAAAGAGAAAAGTGTCAATTTGAACTTCCTGCTTGACAGACCCCACTGAGAAACTGATACGGGCCTGATAAGGTGGTATTTATTTATTTTCTTCTGCTGAGAGGCTTCACAAGTCCTGCTCCCTCCCCCACCAAACTTTCGATGCTTCCTGGTCTTGATACTTCCCGATGCTGATAGCGTCACTGGGAATGTTTGCTCTGAGACGCTGGCGTGGTGACAGGCAGCTGATAAGAAGATGTAGATAATATTATCCGCAGTGCCCTTCTGGAGCTTCTTGAACCTAGTAGGACCTCTATGTTATACCCAAAAATCTGGGTGGACATTTAGAAAATGAATTACCAGTCCACGAGTACAGACAAAATGACAAAAGAAAGTAGATGATTTTTAATGCCAGACAATGCAACACGCTATTAATTTATTTTTGAAACAGCTCTGCATTAAACTTTAACATCGAGAGAAGTAATTGGGAAGCTGTCTGCACGCTTGTGTGTGTACGTGCTTGCTGTACAACACGCCCTGTGTTTTATCGTAAATATTTTAATTGAACATACCTGTGTTCAGCTGCATTTCACTGCAACTTGAAAACACACAAACTGCCCACATATCTCAAACTAAATTTGCTTGCTACTAGTCTAATGCCATTTGAAAAAGGATGCTACTGTAAAAGCGGGTTGCTGTGAGTAGGAGCATGCTTTGAAAACAGCTGTTTTCTCGTATACGTTTAATAAACGTCTGTTTCGTTGCCTTATAGGGTAATGTTGCCAAATGATAGATTCTGTCAGAGTAATGAATAGTGAAGCAAAGAATCCGTGTTGAAAGCGGCATGGTCATTGCCTGTTCCCATCTTCCTCACCGGGTTCAGCTGGTCCTCCAAAAATCAGAAATAACTGTTTCTCACCCCAGTTAGTGAAATAAGAACAGTCAGTCTCACAAAAGTAGAAATTTGGCTAAAGGGCTGCGGTAGATACACATACCTATCAACGTTGACTCCTGATGGAAAATCTTGCACATAACTAACCACGAATATGAAACCTTCTTGTAGTTTTTCCCCTATAAGAAAATATCTTACAAGTCATCATTTCAAGATTATATAACTATTAACTTTGGGAGATTAGATAAAAGCAGATTTCTTTTTCTGCTGAAGACATCTTTCACTGTACTGTTTATATTATATTATGTCCAGATAACAAGGTAGAGTCTTTGAATATAAATAAACAGTGTATGCGCTGAACTGAGCCGAACGGATGCTAGCTTCTATTTCCTTCTAAATGCATATGTCTTTTGCCTTTTTTTTTTTTTAAAGTACATTTCAACTTAAACTGGAGCCAACCAGTCTTGCTTTCTTTTGCTTTGCTTCAGCATTTTTTTTATAGAGTACAGCTGTAAGCAGAGGAGTTTTGCATAGACTGAATGCCACAGAAATCTGCAGTAAATAGTCTGCTTTGTTGTAGATGTTCCTAAGCAGTATATTTAATGAGTAATGATCTGTTTACTGATGGAGAATACCTTCTCTTTGAAGAAGGCTTTCATCCTAGCCAGCCATGGTTTTTTTGGTACTGTAAGTAATTGAACTGGCTGGTGAAGTGACTGCTGCGGTTTGGCAAAAGCCGATTTGTCATGCCTTGTTATTTTACTGAGGAATATTTCTGGGAGCTTGCATTCTGCAAAGTCCTTCGGTTAAACCTGTATTGGGAACAAATGCATGTTACCGCATTTATTAGAAATACTGCTTAAATAGACATTCAACAGCGAAGCTAGTCAAATTTAAGGGGAAAGAAAGGTGAAATCAGTTTGCAAAGTGGAGATTAGCACTCTGCAAATGAATCATCATCCAGGTCTGTATGTACTGGCTGGTATCCCTTAAATTAACAATGTTTTTTATTAGCACTTAATACCAGCAGGCATTTCTTCACACGGAAATTAGTTTTTTGGCGAGTTAAATGATTGCTCATCTCCGAGAGTGGCCCTTCCTTCCCACTAAACTTGTAGGAGTTAGACTGTGTTTTGAAAAGAGATAACGACAGTGGCATATCTAAATAATCATTACCTTGTCTTTTGTATTTCAGCACAAACCCACGTTAATCCAAAGCAGCACGGTGCTGATAAAGATGAGCTCTATCAGAAAAGCATCCCAAAGAAGGAGCACAGTGTGAAAGAAATCCTGAAAATGGAATCCAATCCTCCAAAAGCAAAAGACTTCTTCCAGACCAACATTTCACCAGTTACTCCAGAAAAAGACTTAGATGATTTGCGTAAGAACTACAGCCCAGAGAGGTGTTTCTTCCCTCGAGTTGTCTACCCAATCCGACCTCACATTCCAGAAGACTATCTGAAAGCTTCCTTAGCATACGGGATGGACAGACCCAGCTACGTTACTCACTCGCCCATCCAGACGTCTACTACGCCGAGTCCTTCTGGGAGGAGCAGCCCAGACCAAAGTTTAAAAAGTTCAAGCCCTCACAGCAGTCCAGGGGTCACGGTTTCGCCTCTGGCACCTACTTCCCAAGAGCACAGAGAGCCATACTCCTACTTGAACGGATCGTATGGCTCAGAAGGATTGGGGTCTTCTTATCCTGGATATGCACCCCCTGGCCACCTCCCACCTGCCTTTCTACCGTCCTATAACCCCCACTACCCCAAATTCCTGTTACCTCCTTTCAGTATGAGCTGTAATAACCTGAGCGCTTTGAACAATATCAATGGCATCAACAATTTCAATCTCTTCCCAAGGATGTATCCTCTTTATGGCAACCTGCTCAGTGGAGGTAGCCTTTCCCACCACATGTTGAACCCCACCACGCTCCCCAGTTCATTGCCCAGTGAAGGAGGCCGTCGATTGCTGCAGCCTGATCATCCGAGAGACTTCCTCATACCAGCACCTAACAGTGCCTTCTCTATCACGGGCGCTGCTGCCAGCATGAAGGACAAGCCATGCAGCCCTACCAGCGGGTCACCCACAGCTGGTACAGCAGCCAGTTCAGAACACATAATGCAACCTAAACCTACCTCAGTGGTGTTGGCTGCCACCGGCGGTGAAGAAGCCATGAATCTCATTAAAAGTAAGAGGAATGTGACCGGTTACAAAACCCTCCCATACCCACTGAAGAAGCAGAACGGGAAGATCAAGTACGAATGCAACGTTTGCTCCAAGACCTTTGGCCAGCTCTCCAATCTGAAGGTAGGCAGTGGAGAATAAGACACGAGCCTTCTTGGAAGGCTCTGGTTCTCCCTGTAGGTTATCTAGGAAAAGCAGGGACAGGCTTCTCTTACTTGTTAGGCTGTTTATCAGTCTGGGCTTAATACGGCACCCCCCAGCAAGAAAGCATGGTTGTAAAGACAGTGTTTTAATACTGACGCCACCTAATTAACTAGATAACATTGTATTTTGGCAATGGGAGTCTTCCGCTGACTTTAGGAAACATCTGAAAGTACTTTCGTTACAGTACTGGAAACTGCAAATTGTTAATTGCTTTGTTTCTCCCTAGGTGCACCTCCGAGTACACAGCGGAGAGAGACCATTTAAATGCCAGACTTGCAATAAAGGCTTCACGCAGCTGGCTCACCTCCAGAAGCACTATCTGGTACACACGGGAGAAAAACCCCACGAGTGTCAGGTATGTAACACACCAGAGACAGCTTCCCTTGGAGGCCGAAGGGACAGCAGGGCCCGTGCACACCCCGTACGGCGCGCGGGGAGGGCTGTGCGACAAACCCTTGGCTGCTCAGCGCTGGAGTCCGTATCACAGCCGTTTCCAGCCCTGGTGCAGCAGCGTCTGTGAGACAGCAGGGTTGCCTTTAGTCTGCTAGAGCAACATCTGCCTGATACAGTTTTGCCATCAGCCGTACTCAAAATGCTATTCAGCAATATTTAAAAGGTGGGGATTTTTTTCCCCTTGCGAGAAAGTGTGAAGATATAAGAAGCTGCTGCTTCATCCTGCCACCTCCTCCTAGGTGTCTGTGATTTAAACCATAAAATCCCCTCCCACTCATTCACTGTTTCTCTGTCACCCACCC